ATTATATATTATATATTATATATTATATATATATTATATATATATTATAGAATATATTTATGTATATTAGATATATTTTTATGTATGTATATATATATATATATATAATACGCATTTATATGTATGTGTATATTATTGATTCGTTAATAATAAATTGTGCAACTTATTACCCAATTCATTTACTAGTTTATAGTTTGTCAGTAAATAAATAAATTCTTCAATACACAAACAATAGTTGATAAATAAACAGCTCAATTGCTGTTCATCTTAGTTGATGCATCAATAAATAAATTAATAAGTTATTTATGTTATTTATAAATAAATTCATATTTAAATTAATATTCTATTCACGGACTTGTCTGTATATTCAATAATGCGTTAAAGAGCAAATAAAAGAGGATGAATAAATAAATAAATAAATCAACAGATAATTGCATAAGTTATTTATATACACAAGCAAGGAAGTAAATAAAGGATAAATATATACGTAATTAAGTAATATCTTCGATAAGAAGATAAAACGAAGTGCATATAATATATAACTATATATTAATTAATTAATTAATTAATTAATTAGTTTGTTTGTTTGTTTGTTTGTTTAATTTGAAATATTTGCAGGTGTTTCTAGAATATGTTCGCGCATTGCCTTCTTCTTCTACAGGAGGTGCAGCACCTCCTGCTAGCGATAGCAAAGGAAACATGCATTTTGTTTCTGTTTATGTTGGTTCGTTAAAGCTGCTAGGAATAGAAGAAAATGATAACGGTTTATTCAAAGCTTCACAAGAACGTAGAGGACAAAATGTTTCAGAGCTATTGCTGCAAGCGGGGCTGGCTAAGACTACACCGCACCGAGCAGAAGATGATCAGGCTGAAGTAAAAATAATAATAATAATAATAATAATAATAATAATAATAATAGTAATAAATATAAACTTTTCTCTCTTTTATTCTTCTGTTGTTTATCTCGTCTTTGCGTATCCGTCTTCTGCATGCGTCTTGCGGCCAAGTGCTGCTGCTGCTGCTGCTCATAGGGATGCTCTTCCTCATGCTGTTGTTGTTGCTGCTGCTGCTGATAGGGATGCTCCTCTCCATGCTGCTGCTGCTGCTGATACTGCTGCTGATGCTGCTAATGATGCTGATGCTGCTAATGATGCTGATGCTGTTATATGCTGCTGCTGCTGCTATATAGTATTAAATATTGCATTCCATAGTATATTATAATATTCAACAGTAGAACAAACATAGTAATAGAAAAATGAAGTATGTGATTGATTAACATTCTATATTGTATTGTGTGTGGTGTGTATCAGCGTTACGATGCATATCAAGCGCTTGAGAAAGAAGCACAAGCAGCAAAGAAGGGGTTATTTGCTGCTCCTTCTTCTGTTAAAGTTGTCCGGATGGTAGATCTTACAGGCCCTGCTAATGCACAGCGTGCTGCAGCACATCTGCAGCAGCTGCAGCGCAGCAACAAGCTGGATGCAATTGTAGAAAATGTTTATAATGCGGGCAGGTTCAAACTCAGAATACCGTCGGTCAGTCATACGCTTCATCCTCACCATTAATATCTTGCTGCTGCCGCTGCTGCTGATTGTGCTGCCGCTGCTGCTAATGGTGTTGATGCTGCTGCTGCTCATGACGATAACGCTGCTGCTGCTGATGATGATAGTGCTTTTGCTGATGGTGCTGCTGCTGCTGATTATGCTGCAGCTGCTTCTAATGGTGTTGCTGCTGCCGCTAGAAGATGCTGCTGCTGATGCTGCTGCTGCTGTTGATGCTGTTGATGATTTGGAGGGCTTGAAGGGTTGAAGGGCTTGGGGTTTAAAGGGTGAAGCGCATGCATGCATTGTTTGCTGCTGCTGCAGCAAGCACTATACTTAACTTTTGCTTTGTCTGGTGTCCGCTGCCCACAAACATTTCGAGCTGCTGTTCCTGGGGGCCCTAAAGAAAGACAAGGAGAAGCATTAGGAAATGAAGCATTACAATTTACTCGAGAGAGAGTGCTACAGCGCGAGGTGTATATACAGGTTTTACAATGTGATAGAGGGGGGAGCTTTATAGGGCTTCTTCATTATGATAAAAATGATATAAATATTGCTCTAGAATTATTAGAAGAAGGTCTGGCACAGACAATACCTTTCTCTCTCTCAAGAACACCTTCAAAGGAATTATATATTGAAGCAGAGAATAAAGCAAAAAAACACAGAAAAGGCTTGTGGAGCTTAGAAGGTGCATTTGACGAAGAAACAGAGACAGAAGAAACATTTGCTGAAAAACAGCTAAACGGCGTTGTTGTTAGTCATATTGAAAGGTTTGATCTCTTCTATATTCAGGTGTATATGCACATCACTAGGAGCTGTTTTCTTCTTACTTTCTTCTATCTTTGCTGCTTTTCATTTCTTCTCTCTCTCTCTCTCTTTCTCTTTTATGCTTATTAGCAAGTCTTACCCCTGTCTTGTGTTTATTTATTCTTCTCTCTCTTCTTTGTTCTTCTCGCCTTTGTTTGCTCGTCTTTGTGTGTCTTTATCTGTCTCTGTCTGTCCTTTTCGACTCTCTCTGCTTCTCTTTTTATTTTATTGCGGTGCTCTCTTTTATTTCTTTTTCTTCGTCTTTCTTTTTCTGCACTTCTCTCGTCAACGATTATGTGAATAACATATTATACAAATAATAATACAAATCTTTATAATATATATACATGTATGTATGTATGTATGCATCATATATATATATATATATATGTTTATTTTTTTTATGTGTATGTGTATATTATAGATGATATTTTATAGACTGTACATTGTAAATATATGCAACATATTATAAATATAAATGCACAAATGTGCAGCCATATAAAAATATAAATAAACAAATATATAAAATAAATATATGTATATATATATATATATAAAATATATATATATATATATATGAATATGTGCAATACATACATGTATATATGTTCTATACATCTCTGTATGTTTAAATATATATGTTTTTAAATATATATAGATATATATTTAAATATAAATATAAATATATATATATATATATATGTATAACCTATAAAATGCACATATGTACACATAATGCATTATTTTTTTGTTTTTGTTTGTGTAAAGGAGGAGCGTAACGACAGATTAGATGAAATAGCAGAGGAAATCGACAAAACAATTGAATCTGCTTCTTCAGTAGATTGTACATTCACCCGAGCAGGCTTACCGAGGAAAGGAGAAGTTGTTTTGGGGCTGCATGCAGCAGATGGTGCTGTAAGTGTTTATCTTCACTTCTTCTTATTTCTTCTACTTTGTTCATGTCTTGTCTTGTTTTAAATTCAAGAAGATTCTTAATCCTTATATATATATATGTAAATATATATATATATATATATATATATGCATGCATATCTATATCTTTTTGACTATATCT